TTTTTTATAACAGATTTCAATTTATTTTTTAACACTGTTTATTGATGCTATAATATCATTTTGTATGCGGTTGCTATGATATAATGCGTTACGGGGTCCAGAATCAAAATGTTCCTTTAAAATAGGATCGTATTTCGTTAAAAGTCTGACTAAATCCAAAAAAAGCCCTCTATGGGCATCAGTTTCTTTTTCATTGTGTCCACGAAATGGTTTTCCCCCAATACCAAGGCACAATGTTATATCTATTAGTCTATGCATTATACATCGATTGTTATTTTTTTTTTTCTCCCTTTCATTAAGTAACTTTTTGTTTTCTTCCACTAAAAGCAAATCTATTGACTTGGAATTTAAAAAATCAGTCATTGATGTAACACTGTTTAAATGTGATCTAGAAGTTTGGTGTAACTTAAACTTTTGACTTGCCATTTTCCAATTACTAAAACCATTTTTTGAAAATGTAATATCTGATTGCCCAACATTGATTCCGGAAGAACTTTTAAATACCCGACAAGGAAAACAAAACGCACAATCATTTTTTGGGCTATACTCAAGCCATGTAAATTGTTCATACCAATTTTTATGAAAACTACGTTGAACACCACTTATTGTTCTTCTTGGGAACATTGTCATCACAGGTTGAAAAGGACCTCTCAAAATCCGATCTTTCAATTCTAGACGATTTATAGGTAAAGAGCATTTAGGATCATCAGGATGCAGTCCGGTAAAATCCTCATCAATTGAATCTGTTATAAATATGAAAAATTTGATAGGGAAAAAAATGTGTGAAAAGAAATTAAACTAAATGATTAGAAGTTATTGAATTGTTCAGGACTTCAATACTACATAGGAATTAGACTTTTATTTTGTTATTAATTATTTAGTGTTAGTATATTAATCTTTTTCTATAAATATATTATTTTTTCATAAGAAAAAAAAACTTATTATATAGTTATAAGTTATAGACAATGTTTTAAAATTTATATTAAATATTACTTACTTTATTAACATACATTTTCAATTTTTTTGCTCACAGTTGAGTCTTTGGGTCATGGTTAGAGTTAACAGATCTCAGAACACATATCTAATCACTAATTAGTACAATAATAATACAGTAACATATACGTTAAATACAAAACAATACATAAGTAATAAGTTAGTTACATATAATATTAAGAACAACAATACAAATTAACAAAAACAGCTAACACAATATATTTAACACTTATAAAAAAAAAGTAATTGGGAAACACAAGTTGTAGTTACAGACTATAGTTAATCACAAATGATATCTCACCACAAAAAAAAAAAATGTTAAGAAAATTTATTCATAGCATTACTTATTAATAGTAAATAATACCAATTACCAGTTGAATTTTTTGTAATAGATGAAACACTCGAATAAGGTAAAGGATTGTCTACCTCTGATTCCTCCAACAATATATGTGTATCTGATTGTGTACCTAATTGATTAATACAGACAATTACTTACAAATTTAATAATTTTACATAGTGTACTATTATTTAAATTAAATAAACTGATGTAGTGATGTACTATGTAGTTAGGTATTTACATTTTTCATGTAAAAATACAAAATATCAAATAAGTGTATTTAATAAGTTCAAGCTGTTAATAAAGATAAAAATACTTAATATTTTTACTTACTTGAATTACTTGTACTTGGTCTTGGTGTATTATTGTTGAAATAATCAGATAAGGTTTTTTGTTTTTTCATTGTCAATGTCTCAATGAAAAACTTTTTGAGATTAAAATCACAATTTTAAATTAACATATAACTTATTAAATAATTTATAATATGTTTCGTATTTCAAGCAATTCGTTAGTCACTTTTGGAAAAAAACTTAAAACACGACACAGTACACACGTATACCTTATCATATTATTCAATGGCGTACACCATACGGAGCAATTATTATTATTATTATTTTTTACTAAATGATAACAGTGCACTGTGCAGCAGCTACCAGTACCACCATTACGGTTTAAATACCGATTCTATGCTCATGGTTGATAGAAAATAAAACAAAAATATTTATTATTAAATTAAATTAAATCTATTCTTTGTATTATCAATGGTGATAGCATGTACTGTTGTGATATCAGATTTCGTTAACTGAAATTAACCCGTGTGGTCGCGATAGAATTTTTTTTATCATGGCAGTAAGTTATTAACAACGATATATATTTTTTAATTTTTCCAATATTCTTATTTCTTACATTTTACCTTTTACGGACATGTTGAAATAGTCAAACATGTAAGGGGGGGGGGGTAGTTGTTCTGTTGTTCGCAGAGTAGTCAAGTGCCTACCCTGACTACCCCGTGCGCACGCTTATGTTAATGGTATAATCTAAATAAACGTAAAAAATTATTATTATACAGTATTTTATATTTAATTATTTGTAGTTAATACAGCTACAAATTGGCGCCCAACAAAATTAATTGTCAATGCATACACGTATAAAGTGTGCATTACAAACAATTCCATAAATCGTTGTCATTTCGGAGGGTGCTACGGGCAACAAAACATATATGAATCGTACCCTTCGATTGTGATTCAACTTCTTTTTTATGCATCGACGCAAGTCATCGACAAAATGTATATGCGCTCACATGAAAATCTGTTTTATATATATAAGTAGCACCTGGCCTAAATGTCCTAGTAGATGGTCTGCTCCATTGGTGGTTTCATTCGCTTATTGTAATATTTTAAACCGTCGAATGAAATTCCAAAATAACAATTTCATAATTCGTTGTTAGTTTGGAGGGTGCTTCGAGCAACAAAGCATTATGTGAATCATACACTTCGATTGTGGTTCACCTTCTTTTCTATGCATCGATGCATGTCATCGAAAAAATTCATACAGTATGAAGCTGATGTGCAAATCTTAACTTGGGGCCTAAAAATTTTTTAAAAAAAGTATTTAACAACTTTTTATAAAATATGATAGCCGGTGTTTATATTATGGAAGATAGTTTAGTAGATATTTTATTTTAACTGTCTTAAAATGTTAACCACTTAGGGGTCGCAAAAAATAGTTCGGGGGTGTTAAAAATTAATGAACAAATTGTTATTCATTCCAAAATGTATTAATTTAATCTGATTATCACGAATGTACAATAACATCAAATAAAATAGCGTATAGCGTAATCTTATAGTATATGAAATAATTCGACATAAAACGTATATTTTACATGTAGGTATGCACCGCGATGAGAATATAATTTTGATGAGTGATTATTGAAACTTATAAATATGTGTTTACGTTTTCATGCTGTTATCATATAATGATTTAACCCGTCGTTGGTACACATGTGAGCGCGTCGCTCACACAGATAGCATTTCGAGCGTTATTCGTACAAATATTATTGAATTGATCTGATACTATAAATACCTTCAAATAACATGTCTATAAATATTTATAAAAATAAATAATTACGCTATTTGTCATTGCCTATCAGTTATCATTAGACAAAGTCGACAGTACCGATTAAGTGAGCGTCGCGCTAACACTGTACTAACCGCGCAATATTTTTAACACCACCGCCGTAGTCAATTACGTACACGTGTTTTTATTATTTTTTAATTTATCATGGCCAATAAAGTTATTTCGTGGTTAGAAGAGACCGAAGAAGTTTTTTTAGATGACTCAGACGATACCGATGCTGATCCTAGTTATGGAGATCCCGTCGAATTACGTGAAAATAAGTCTGAAAGTGACATTTCTGAACCTACGCATAGATCAAATACTTCGAAAACCTCTCGTTCAAGAAGTCGTAGTCCTATAGCACAGAATTCTAACTACTTAGGGAAAGATAAACAAACAAAATGGTATAAGGACGCTCCTCCTAGAAATGTACGTACTCGACAACGTAACATTGTTTTACGTTTACCAGGCGTAAAACAAATAGGTCGCGATGCAAATTCTATTTTAGAGTGCTGGAACTTATTTTTTTCTAATTCCATTATTGACGATATAGTAAAATACATTTATCTCGATAAAATTCGTTCAAAATATACACAACAACATATGGTACGCGAAACATCAAAATCCGAAATAAACGCACTTTTTGGACTGTTATATTTGGCCGGTGTTCTACGTAGTCATCATCTCAACCTTGATGATTTATGGTCAAACGATGGCTTATCCCCCGAGTATTTTCGAGCAGTTATGCCAAAAGCACGATTTTATATTCTTCTAAGAGCAATGAGATTTGACGATATAGGTACACGGGTCCAAAGAAAACAATTTGATAAGCTTGCAGCCATTCGTTCTGTATTTGAAGACTTTGTTCTACGCTGCGAGAACTGTTATACAGTGGGGGCAAATGTAACTATAGATGAAATGCTCGAAGGTTTTCGAGGCCGTTGTAGTTTCCAACAGTACATCCCAAGTAAGCCTAACAAATATGGTATAAAAATTCAGGCCTTAGTCGACTCTCGCACCTTTTATATGTCAAAAATGGAAGTGTACGTTGGGACCCAGCCCGATGGGCCTTATAAATGTGACAATAACCCTGCAAGTGTCGTGAAAAGATTAATCGCCCCAATAACGAAAACCGGTCGTAATATCACCATGGATAACTGGTATAACTAGCAATTGATCTACTAAAAAATCACAATACAACTGTAGTTGGTACACTTCGTAAAAACAAACGTGAAATTCCCCTTTGTTTTTTAGAAACTAAAAAAAGGCAATTGAACTCTACGATGTTTGGTTATGACAAAGACATATTGCTTACATCATATGTACCAAAAAAAAATAAAAATGTATTGCTTATTTTCACTATGCACGAACAAGGTGTCATTGATCCGGAGTCTGAAGAAAGAAAACCAGAGGTGATTACGTATTACAACAGTACAAAAGGTGGCGTGGATTGCGTGGACGAAATGAAGGGCGAATACTCTGTGGCTAGAATAAGTTGCAGGTGGCCATTGACCATTTTTTCTCTTTGATGAACATAGGAGGCATAAATAGCCAAATTATTTTTCGAGAAAATACAGGAATTTACCTAAGTCGTCGAGAATTTCTAAAAACCTTGGGAAAAGAACTTACAAAACCGTTTATGTTAGAACGATTGCAGATGCCTACTTTGCGTACAAGTATTCGACAAAGAATAATAAAATTAACTGGTTACACCAAGACAGAAAATGAAGTCCCTGAACGTTCAAATACTGAACATCGTCCGAAGTGCGTATTTTGTCCAATAAGAAAAAATCGAAAGACCATGGTGAGGAAATATTTTTTATGAATACATAATAATAATAATAATAATAATAATATTATATATAATTAATCATTATTTGTTTGAAATAATTTCGTAGACCAAGTGCGTAAAATGCAGCGTGCCAATATGTAAGGAGCATACGATGAGCACATGCGTATCCTGCTGTAACGATCATAACGAAACAAATACTACAGAAAGTGAATAGACCAAAGTCATAAATTTAATAGTTTATAAATTTTCATTTATATTAAGGTTTTAATTAATTTGTATTTCTTTATATGAAAAAAAATATTTATTTTTGGAATGAGATTGTAGGTTTTTATTTTATTTTATAAATTATGAAATGTACATAAAAAGTATTTATATACTTTTTAGTGAAGGATAAAAATATACATAATTCTAGATATGGTTTGATTTTTTAAGTTAATAGATCAATTAATAATAATAATAAAAGTGAAGTGTAAGCGCCGCGCTCACAGTGTAACAATCATGTTACAAACTATATGTGTACCAACGACGGGTTAATTAATTATATTTTATACGCAAAGCTCCTTTTTCCTGAGACGAATGAATAATGATACTATTACATAAAATACTACCTACTAATTTTCGACGAAACAAAAAATTAATTTAATTTAATTTTACCATTTTTTATTATTACGAGTATGTTAACATTTATGTAAGGTTAGCCTTGTATTCAATTTCCAAAACATCTTACAGTCATTAATGATTTATTTGATCAAATTCCGTATAATATACTTATCTATTTCACGTATAAGCATTTGTTCTATTTTGGTGTATTAGAGTTAATAAAACAAACAAATCAAATACTTTTTATCAATATGTAATTCAATAACTATTTCAATAACGATGGTTTTTCTCTATGTTTATAATAACGCATTAACATTTAATTATATAAAATATAGATGTAGATCATATAAGAAACAATTCAATTTATTAGATCAACTTTAAAACTATGATTAAAGGTTTAATTTAAAAAGTGTCCATAATAAAAATTAAATTTGATTTAAAAATAACTAATCTACAAAAATCGACTAATTTTGTTTTTTATTTTTTACTTTCTAGCACATCATTTCACAACCAGGTTCTTACAACCGAAGGCTTAAACCTAACCTAAAGGCTTAAACATGTAAGTACTAATATTGAATGGTTTTAATTTATTTTTATTAACATCTACAAGAATGTTGACATATCTTGAATATATTTGAGATGTAGAGTAATTTTATTAAAGTCAGTCATTACAGTCAAACTATTTATAGACAAAAACTTAAATATGAAAATGGTTTGAAGTATACAAAGGAAAGAGATAATCAAATGTAAATGTATTATATTAGTTCTAAATAAAATTGTGTATTATATCTTATTTTGTAAGTATAAGTTAATTTTAATTTTATATTTTCATATGCTTGTATTTTTCAGGAATGTCAAACTTATTTTTATCGTACTATTGTCATTGGCTTGCCAAACCATGGGACGTAATGTTTCCAACTTGGAACTTTCAAGATTATTGAGTAATTATTATTTTTTTATATTCACATGCTATTTCAAGCAATGCTCTGCAATTGTTGTGGAAAAATTGTTTCCTTAATACCTACATCAAAATAATGTTTTTTTTACGCCTTATATTTTTAACAGTTTTATTATCTGATTTCTATAAACCTTTTTTCAAAACGCCCAAAAAGTGCTTGAAATTTGAGGAGGCGGCTCGAAAATCGTTCAAAATATATATTACTATGTACCTACAACATACGTAGTGTAATTTAAAAAAGGGACTTGTTCCCCTCCTTTTTTGAGAAAATGTTATTTTCATATATGTGTTTTATTTACATTATGTGTCAGATAATATAACTTTAATTGCGTTTCTATACAGCGGTTTTAATATAAATTTTTGTGTATTAGATTGGACCAATACCAGAAATATTTGTTTGACCATTTTACCGGACGTTATACTTACATCTTGCGTCATGAGATACACCGGACGTCCTGCAGGTGAGTCAACATTTTTTTATTGTACATCATATATATAAAAAAAAATTAGTCACGTACCTAATAGGTTAGCGCATGGTATTTTTATAATAATAAGGAATACATAGGACATTATGTTATTATTTAAATATCATTTATTATAACTTAAGAACAAAAAATATTTTTGATCTACAATTGTCCTAATCCTTGCTTATAGGTACGGAACTTTATGCGGATCAAACTTAAGTAAACGCGAGTTTTTATTTCACGCTTAATTAATAATTATGAATCGTATATTATGAATTAGCCGCTAGAGCGTGATAATATAAATGTACTTTTTTTTTTTAGCTTTCTTGCCATGGAGCAGCGGCATCAATAGCAAATGCTGTTTTAATGAGTGTGACCTAAGCAATTCGAAGATGACATGCCCCGATTCTAAGTATTTAATTTATTTATTTATACATGATTAATATGATCTAATAAAAATGTGTTTTAGTTTACAGAATATTATTTAATTACTAATTAATTATCATTTAATAAATTATTTAATTTTCACTATGGTATTATGATCGAATTTGTATGTTAATGTCAGTAACTTTTATATAATTACTTTTCTCGATTTTTTTTATTTTGTTCGTTTAAAAAATGGTATGTATTTGTTCATATGATTAGAAATATTAGTTTGGCTCAGCATCTTTTAAAAATTCTAGCGATGCTCTCCAAACTTGAATACATTCATCTCCAAACACTACAACTCCAATTATTATAATTTCTGTGTGTATGAAAAAATATTTAATTAATAAAAATATAACAAACAATAGTTTCTGAAGTCTAAGATTAATAACTAAACCACCAATGTTTCTTCGTAGTTTTTATAAATGTTTATACTACTATTAATAAATTGTAAAAGTTAAACCAATTTGTAAAATATTATTTCTAATATATAAATATTGTCATGCAATATACAGGGCTAAGGAAAATTTATCTGAAGTAAAAAAATTATTTACTCTCAAAGAATTTCCTATTCCAACAACACCAACCACCACTAGGCCTGCAGATGTGGACAATGAAAAAGTACAAGAAGATTTATGCAAAGCCGTCATGCTTGCAAAGGAATACATGAATAAATTAGGTCAGTATCTTAATAGCATAGTGCAACACAAATTCCCCTCTTTCAATAGCATACAATATAATTTAGTACACCTATAGCAAAAAGTCAGCCATATGGTTAGGTTATATATATTATTATATTTTTATATTGACCGTATTCATTTGGGTTGAGTTGGGTACAAATATTTTAGGGTCTTTTAATATAATTATACATTCAATTATCTATAACTACAAGTATTTTATAAATCTCAATAGGAAAAAATAATCTATATACTAATTGAATAAAAATAAATATAGTTTACACTAGACCCAAACAATATATTTACAAAATGTACTAACTCTATTCTATTACAATTCAATACTTAGCCGTATGTTCAAGCAATAAAACACTGAGGTGGTCCATCTTTTACTAATTTGAATTTATTTATTTAACCATTATTATTTAACTCATGTTTAAATTCAACTATAAAATTATTTAGTCTTAACTTTCTTGTCTGTAATTAATTATGATTGTTTAATATTTCAGAGTTTCGTCAGTATGCTGTTCGTTTGACATGCTTAGCTTCTCTGGGTGAGCTTAAAACTGTAAAGGAGTAAAAAGTTAAATCACTTGGAGAATGAAGATGAATATTCATATACTTTAGGTCATAATACTTTATTAATAAATATAATAATTAATTATCAATTTTTTTTTTTAATATTACTTATTGTGTTAATGCATAACAAATAATAATATTTTTTACTTTTATATTCTTAGTTTATTAATGAACTTATTGATTTAGCTATATAACACTGTAAAATGTCATAAAATTGTTCAATTATCATTAAAATGTATTAGTTAAGTATAATATTAGTATTAGTAATAGTATTAGTTCATAAAAAATATATTTTTCAAAAATCCGTTAAGGATGCGTAAGGCCTTAAATGTTAAGTAACAGTAATATAGAAATATTTTGTAAAACAAATTATTTACTAGACTTTTATTACTTTATTCATTATCCCAGTTTTATTATTAATATTGATCTAAAAAAACATTGAGACTTTGTGGTTCAGTCGAATGTTAGAAGTTCTGGGTATTATTCATATTATTTATTTGAATATGAATACAAATATTGAGTTCAGAAAGAAAGTTATGAGTAAATATTGAATATCTAAAAGATTAAAAAAAAAAAACAAATAATAATCATTGATGATCGTAAAATGAGTTGATTATCTATTTAG